CAAAGCCGGCAATTATCTAGAAGTATGCGTTTCTAGATTGTCATTACTAAACATTTCTAAAGGTGTTGTTGTTGTTTTAAAGATATGGGTAAAGGTCCACTTTTCACCCTTGTGGTGGGGTTACCCCCACACTGCAATGGTTTAGGTGCTCATTTGTGTCTAGGGACAAAAATAACAAAGGTATACTCACTCAAAGTTCTGAGCCGGCCAGCTGTTACCGCGCTCAATCCTGCCTCTCTCCTCCTCTTCTGCAGCATTGGAATCTTCTGCAGTGTCCTCACATCAATACACTGTGTACAGACGTGGTAATTTACAGGACCTTAGACTGCTGCAGAGCAGGGGGAGAGACACAGGAACGACCGGTCTAGGAAGAAGCTGGCTTGGGGTGAGTATAATTTCATTTTTATTTTTGTTTAACCTAGACACAAACAAGCAGTTAACTCTTCCAGTATGGGGTAGCCTCACTGCAAGGCTGGAGTACTACTTTAAGAAATCCTGGAGTACTTCTTTAAGATTACATTATTTTACTCTGATACTATATTATCCAAGCACCTCCCTATTGCATGTTATGTTTCACCTAAATAATGTTCAGGGAATGTACTTTTAAAGGAGAACTATGGGGTTAAAGCTTTTCCCCATAGTTCTCAGCTTGTCTGACATGACGTGATGGGAGCATAACTTTGCATATAGAGCAGGTGCTGCACAAGGGTAAACAAATTTTTTACAAATGAACCTGTCACTGATTAAAGTACATCATTTGCCAAAAATTACTATTGTTACTGCTGCCCTTTTCTATAGAAATAGGCCCTTTCTCTTAGCAAAGCCTTGGAAAGAGAAATGTGATATTATTATTATTATTATTATTAAGGATTTGTATAGCTCCAACAGCTTGCGTAGTGCATTACAATATAAGGAAAACATCAGTTACAATACAATTCAAAACAAGATGGTGATAAAGAATGGATGTCCTAACATTAAAGTGTATGTTGAGTCACTAATTCAAAATCGCTTTTTAAAAACTTTCCTATGTCTCATAGGTAGCTACATTCTTATGATGAAAGCTACTGTTTACTGTAAATTTGCTTTTTTATAGTAGCAGGAGACTGCATTTCAACCTTTTCCCAAATCCTGGGGACTGTGGTCTGGCTGTAGCATAACATATGGGTAGCTGGGGCACGTTGCATTCCACATTGCGGCATGTTGCAGTTCTAACAGCAAGGCTATTGCTAGAGGTCCCTGTCAATCAAAAGGATCAGTGCTGGACGGGGGGTGGAGGGCTCAACTTGGCTATAAAACTTCAAGCATGCAGTGCATTTGAAATGGCATACTGCAGCTCCAATACTAAAGCTGAGGCATGCAAACTGACCTCATCAGCACGATTCTGCTACCGTGCTTGGCGTCTCAGAGTAGTGAAGGAAACTGGCTTGATAACCAGGTATTTGATGCTAATTTGCAAATTTACAGAAGAAAAAATTTAAATTTATAATAGTTACTGTGGGCAGAGGAATCCATTTATTGTTTCATTATATCAGTTTCCATGCACTTTAACACCAGTGTACCCACAGTGTCAATTTTAGGAAATCCAGTCATTCTGCATTAGGCTTCCTTGTAAACTCCCTTATCTAATCTATCAAAACACTTTCCGATTACAGACCCTAGAGTGAAACTTTGTTGCATATATCTTAAGCTGGCTTCTCTCAATAGTCCTGCTGAAATTCAACCAGTGTTTGGCCCGGTCGGCACCCCTCCATTTGACAAAATCGATTTTTATTTTATTTTTTCTTTTAATCAGCTTTTATCAGAGGAAACTCTTTGGCCAAACAGTGACTCTAGCCAAGCAGCTAGAGTCCAGTCACTGTCCTGGTATTACGACAGCCAGTCTTAGCCCCCGAAAACCTTTAAACATCTGTAGTATGTACATTTTGATTGTCCTCTGTAATCAAATGCGCATGCCAATCTCCTGGTCTGAGTATTTGATCAGTCAGTGAGGCAGCTTATCAAAGATGGATTGGTAGTGAGGCATGGTAGAGTCTAAGCTCTCAAATGCAGGATATGGCCACAGTTGCATAATACAGTTGCACAGAGATTGGGGATTCCGAAACTTCTACGAGGTATGTGAACATTAAGGAATCCCTAGAGGGAACACATGTCCATTTAAAAAAAAACCCTGTGGAGTGTTTTAAGAATGTTACGCTGGCTGCTGGTCTTGATAGTTCATGAGCTCATGAGCCAAAAAGTTTAATCTAGTAGCAATTGCATCAGGATAAACTAGGGGTACTTGAGTGGCAGCTGCAGGGCCCTTGCCATACACATAAATCTGTTGGTGACAGCACTTTGCCAGATTTTGTATTGCTGATGTTCAGCTTGGTTATCACTACTGGGACCTACCTAAAACATTGATGATTCTTAGTAACTAGTGAGGTAGAGATAGCAGAGTGCAAAATGCTAAATCATGTAGCTAAAAAGTGATTCCACAGGCGATCAAATAGGTTATTATAAGCTGGATTTTAGTGATTCTGATGAAGGTGAAGTATTGCCAATGACAGAATTGTGATGTGACCCAGCCTAATGTTTTGAGATATATCAGACATTATGAAAGAGATATTAATAATTAAAAGGGATACCTTAAAGGAGAGCTATGTGGTGAGTGCTTTTCACTCACCTCATAGCTCTAGCCGACCTGTGACAATGAGACTGTCACAGGTCGGCTCAGTAGATCGTGAAGTGAGCGAACACATACCGGCGTTCGCTCACTTCTCGATCCTGTCACGGCAGAGAGCCGTGACGGGAGGGACTGGATTCCCCCCCTCCCCGCTCCGATCCTCCAGCGCTGACTGGCGGAACAGACGGGGGACGGGACAGGTACAGCTGGCTCTGCCTCTAGATAGGCAGAGCCAGCTGTCACTCCCGCAGCTGGGCAGATCCAGACATAATTGTCAGGATCCGCTTCAGCTGCGGCGTCTCAGTATACCGCGAGCTGTATGTCTGGATCCGCCCAGCTGCGTGAGTGACAGCCGCCATAGTTCTCCTTTAAGGACCACTTATTTAAAAGACAAACTAGAGCAACATAGTCTTTCTTTCCTAGAACAACCAATTTCCATCTGTAATTCTATTTTATTGAGGTAGTGGAAACCTCTTTGCTGAGCTCTGAAAAACTCATGCTGTATATACAGTACCTAGCCTGTATAGATGTCTTTAGTAATAACCATTAGCTGGGTCCATCCAAATAATTGCAACTACAGCATAGTTGTCAAGTGTCCATGACCTTACAGAGTGTGAAATTTTGTAAACCTTTTATACTTTAGAACCTGAGACTGACCCCATTTAAAGCTCTTATCAATTCTACAAATATAGCTTTATTTCTATTGTATTGTGTTCTTTTGAATTATGCTGTATTAAATAATAATCTAGCAACATCCAAGGGTTTATTTCATAAAAGACTTTAAAACAGCTGCAGTTCTCAGGGTGGTCCATCCCTCAGTAGACAGTCATAAAAATGAACATTGGAGTCTAATGCTTGTAACATCTGCTAACGTAGCACTGGTCAGATCCCAGGAGCCAGTGCTCCTATATAATAAAGGCAGCTGGCTATAGTCAGATGTGTCTGGCCTCTAACTCTTTGGTGCTTTTTCTTGTAGTGCAGGCACCACTATATTTTGTTTTATTAAGTGCAAGATTTTATAAATCTAGTTGGCACAATACACCCTTTCAGGACCTGTGTCAAGGGAGCTTTCAGCACCAAAAATAAGCTTTAGAAAATAATTTACATGCTGTTACCCCTAATCTAAGTCCAGCTCCATTCAAAATGTTTTACTTTTGGGAAGGGTGGGGTCCCTGTCAGGTTTTAAGCACTGTCTGTCCCTATTGAGATTTTGAGAAAAAATATTTTTTTTATGAATTTCTCATACATTACATCAAAGGTAATTCCTCAACACTAAAACTGAAACCAACAGTGACCGTGTTAGGGTGGGGGCAGAATCAACCAATAATGTCCTGTACTGCAAGAGAGTTCATACTTACCTGGTCCAGTGCCTGTTCGTTGACTCTTCTCTCTGCTGTAGAGCTTCACTGCCCTCGAACATTTTAACATCTGACACATTTCCTAGTGTGGTGGATGTCCCCACCATGCTCCATGGTTTATCTGGCCCCTACATCACTATTGTGCCCTGTAGTATGGATGGCAGGAGGAACCATGGAGTGTGACAGGGATGCATGTATCTGACACACCCAGAAGGGTGTCACATATGAGGCAGCATAGCTATGTAGCAAAGGGAAAATTCAGCAAACCGGCACTGCACCAGGTAAGCATGAAGCCTCCTACATTATCGGGCATATTGAGGTGATCTTTTTATCCAACAGGAATGCAGTTAGCTAAAATGTAACTCAACTTAACCCTAAGACTTAAGCAGGCCGTACAAGTTTATTTTTTTTCTCCTTCAGCTTGAGAAAAATGATTGATTCCCCCATACACGCTAAACTAATCGATGGGGCAGTCTCCCATTGCCGGCTATTGTATTCAAGCAGCTGTGAGAACACGCCTGATTGAATAACCGTGACTGCAGTTTTCCACCAGGCTCCATCAGTTTATGAATCAAAGTTTGTCAAGCACAATTTTTGGCTGATTCACAGGATTGGCCAAAATTCAATGGCCAGCTTTGATCTAATGCATCTTCTAACCTTAACCTTACTGTGTTTAAAACCTTAGCACTCTTTAAAGCTGAATACTTGCCCCACCAGTGCTAAAACCTTCCATGCCAACTCATACAGTTTCTGTTCCAAAATATTACAATGATAAGATATTATCGCCAAAACAGAATGATTCGGACAGGCACACCCTTTGCGACCTCAATATATGTAAACTTTTGAGAGCACCACATAATCTATGTGCTGAAAGAGGAGCATTTTTATTGAATTTTCATTGGGTCTATGTTGTGAAAATCAGTTCTTGCATTATGTTTTCCCCTGCCTTTTTCTTGACTTTAATGTTCATTGCTTTGCAGGTACCTACCAAGGTCAATGGATGGGAGGCATGAGACACGGATATGGTGTACGGCAAAGTGTACCCTATGGCATGGCTACAGTGATCCGTTCACCTCTTCGAACCTCTCTGTCTTCACTACGCAGTGAACAGAGCAATGGCACAGTGCTCCATGACATTGGAGCTGACAGCCCTGCAGGAACTCGCGGAGGATTTGTGTTGAATTTTCACAGTGACTCCGAGCTCATGACCAGTAAGAAAAAAGGTTTGTTCAGAAGAGGATCGCTGTTGGGTAGCATAAAGCTACGAAAGTCCGAGTCCAAGATCTCAATATCTAGCAAACGTAGCTCTGTGAGAAGCGATGCGACTATGAGTAGAATAAGCTCCAGCGATGCAAATTCAACGATTAGCTTTGGAGATGTAGACTCTGATTATTGTCCTGTAGAAGATCACGTAGATGCCACAACCACAGAAACCTACATGGGGGAATGGAAGAATGACAAACGCACTGGATTTGGAGTAAGTGAGCGTTCAAATGGAATGAAGTATGAGGGCGAATGGCTGAACAACAGGAGGCATGGATATGGATGTACCATATTCCCAGAAGGCACGAAAGAAGAGGGGAAGTATAAAAACAATGTTTTAGTGCGAGGAATAAGAAAACAGCTTATCCCGATAAAGAACACAAAAACAAAAGAAAAAGTAGACCGGGCCATTGAAGGCGCTCAAAGAGCAGCGGCTGTAGCAAGGACAAAAGTTGAGATAGCAGCCTCCAGGTAGGTAGTCTGTGGTATTGTGTGCTTTTATTTTGTTCTCTGTTAAATCAGAACAGGTCATCTATGTTGAGATGCTTTAACAAGATTGTAACTTTGTCACTTAAAGAGAACCTGTCACCTGGCCATTTATGTCAACAATCTTCATATAAGATTAAATGTGCATTTTAGATATTTTGTGCGTCTTATGTACCTGTAATAGCCTCTCTTGTGTAGATGTCCAAAACCCCTGAAACCGCAATCTTAGATGTGATGTCAGCAGCCCAACAAACTCAGAGATGTCAGTGACACTCTCTCTTCGCTTCTGTCCTGGCAGCTTTATAAAAGATTAAGTAGGGAGGTGAGGGTAGGGACTGAGAAGCTGGGCCAGTACAGAGAATAATTAAACACTTCTAGAGCCGGAGTGAGCTGTACTAGGGAAGGGACTCTTCCACAAATTTGCTAGCAAGTTTTGATCTGCTTTTGTCAAGGAGATTGGGCCACCTATGGACCGAATTTTGATATGTATGTACCCAGCTTAAACTGTAATATCAGAAAGATGTTTTCTGTAAAAACTGTTGCTCTGAATCCTGACCATTCCTATGTTCACGGGGATGCAATAGTGGGGGTGGTTAGTGAGATGTATGGCCCTATATAATCTAAAAGCAGGGTGGGCACAGATTATTGATTTTTTTTTTTCCGTGATTTGGTTTAGAATATCAGCTAATTTGCACATTAGTAACCCTTACACCTTCACAAACTTAGACCAGTTTCTAATAGGTTATATTTTAAAGTGAACCTTTTCTCAAATAAACTGACATTTAGAGTAAAAAGCAGGTGCAGACACAATCCTACTCATAGCTGTGCTTATGCTTCTGTGCTTTCTGGAATTCCCCAAGATGGGGCTCCAAATACTCTTCTTCCTGCTCTGAGGTCAGAGCTCTGCCATGCCCCTTTTATAGCTTTCATTGCAACCCCCATGAGCCTTTGTAACTGATAAAATAATTTGGATAGCCTAGGAAATGAGCCACCTTCACAGCTTGGTGTCAAAACATGCATCTTGAAAGTCCCCATTCTGGTGATCCTGTGGCACTCAACCAGAACAAGCATGTCCAGAAAAATCCATGCCACCTTTTCATCCATAGTACCAATGTCATCTTTCCTAAATACAGGTACAATTTAAAGATCTACACAACCCTGTCATTGGAAACTATGGGAAAGTTTTTTTTTAAATGAGTAGCTTAATACAGAGTTCTCCTTGATGTGTACAGATCTCAGCAAGCTTCCACATTTGTTAGGTGAAAGTATTTCATGAGTCACAATCTACACAGCCCTGTCATTGGAAACTATGGAAAAGTGTCTTTAAAGTTGAGATTTCTAAATGTTGAGCTTTTCACAAAGGTCTCCTTGATATCTACAAATCTCAGCAAGCCCCACATTTTGTTAGATGAAAGTATTTGATGAATCACACGCTAGTGGCTGAAAGCGAGCAGGCTAAGGCTTTAGTGTAATAACTGGTATGGATCCACATTGTTTGATGGTTTCTGTAGTATTTCTACAAATGTTTGGAACACAGATTGATTTTTACCATGGAGTGCATTTAGGCCTTTTAGGGTATTATGCAACCCCAGTGCAGGTCCTGGTTTACGTTGGTTAGATCTAGACAGGAGCTCATATATAAGCCAGTACTTTTATGATTTATGTGTTCAGCTGTTACAAGTTGCGCATGATAGAAGGTGAATATGCTTTTAAAATTTACATTGTGTATAGCTTACATAGGGTGAAGAATCGCGCACGCACATTTTTATAAGACGTTTTCTGATTATTATTTTTTAATAATGCATTCCAGGAATCCTCAGCAACCATTCAGAAACTGGCTTTTACATAGTTCACTGTAGACAACCTCAAGCCAAGTTCCATCTAGTCTTTGCTAGGGTTAGGGTTAGATGTGCTGTAGATGCTAGTGACTGACCCTGCACTCATTGTTGGTCTTGTATATCTTTCTGCATGCTGGAAAATCTCTGAACATTAGTTCAGCAGCTTCATTTGTCATAACCAAGTCAAGTATAGGGTCTCGCCAAGATAAGGAGATCTAATACATCTTCCAGTCCATGGGCAGCCCATGAAAGCTAGAAATTGGTTATGTTGTATAAATATGCCCCCACAGTACACAGTAGTTCACACAGCATATATTTAATCACAGCTGTGATGTTTGTAGCCCACATCTTATGGCTGTTTAGAATAGGTGCATTAAAAAGTAATTTTCAGGTTACTGCACTTTGCTCATTGGCTTATTAGATTATGCCATTGGAGCTTACATGTAGAATAGGAGCAAGGATGATATACAAGGTGCATTAACTAATGACGGCCATCTTTATTGCTTTACAACAGTTAGCAATTAGAAGATAATTGGCTATAATGGGTTATCATACTTTGAACATTGCTCCTATAAATGGGCTTAGTCCATTTGAAGTGCAGTGACCCATATAGGACAAACTAAAGTAATCTCCTAAAGTGACCCGAACCTATAAAGATAGGTACAGTCAAAGCTGGAGAAATCTCAGGAGCCAAGTAGCCAATGTTGCTAAAAAATACAGCTGGATCCTAACCTTTGAGGTTGTCTCTAGTTGTTGTCAATGGGAGATAGCTTCTAAAAAATCCTGCTGGCTTCTGGAGGACAAGCTGGCTCCAGAAATCCATATTAGTTTATCCACCCTGTCCACCCCTGGGTACAGTTTAATGCATGTTCTAGGCATTAGGGAGTTAAGGAAGAAGCAATAAAGTATATATCATTGCACTTCAAAACCATAGAAAAACATTCCAAAATTGTTAAAATGCAACAGCAATGCTGCCTGCAGGAAACACACTGGATGAATAGTCCATTGAATAAATTGGCACCAATTTCATACACATGCACCTTCACATGCATTCAACGGGACCTAAACAGTGCGAGCAGACCCCAATCTTCTATAATTCCTGAACTCAGAACAGAGTTTATTTCTTTTTTCTCTTTTTCTAATTTATTAGGCAGTGAACATGAGTTTGAAATGTATTTGCTCTCATTTGCTGCCATTATAAATCCCATTTGCTGGATTGTGTCCCATTTGCTGCACACCTGCATTTTCCATTCTTAAGTGGTAAGTCAAGGTCTCAGAAACATGTGCAATTAATATGTAAGTCTAATACAACGAATGTTATGATCGCTGGCCCCAGTCTGTCCTATGACAGCTGCTGTTTCGAGATGGTTACAGTAGATGCAGACCTAACTGAATGACATTCATTTGCTAAAACACCGTGGGGAACAGTTCTCAAAACTGACTCATTGTTTGCTTTTAGGAATCTTTATCTTTTTATTTATAACAGAATGGGGGCAGATTTATTTTCTCTACACAGTTTTCATGATGAATTGGCTGCTATGAAAATGAGCATGTCTACATGTGTTCAAAAAGTAGCACGTCAAATGTCATTGCTAAATAAGCAAAGAATAAGCTAAGAAAATAAGTAGCTATTTGGCCGTCATGCCGGTATTTCGGTATCCAGTACAAGTACCGATATTTATATTTCTATGCTCACCGATACCGGTACTTCCGGTAGCATGAAGTCGGCTTCCCGGGCAATTAGCGCGTCATTACCTTCCCCTCCAAGCTCGCTCCCACGATGGACTACAATCTAAATACAAATTAGTAAACTAAACATGACATTGTAGTCTGTCACAGCAGCAAGCTTGAAGCGATGACTACTTTACAACACACACAGGGACAATGGGGAACAAAAGTAGCCACCCTCCAGAAGGAAGGACAGTGTCGGCACCAATTCAGAGATGATTTGCGGATCTACAGCCGAGTGATACACAAATAAGATCAATTTTTGTTAATAGTTAAGCAACTTGGATGTATTATTAAGATTTACCTGAGTTTCCTGAGTTTAGTGTCACTTTAATATATTAAAAATGGTTTTTGAAATTATATTAATATTAACACTTATATGAGATTTTAGTGATTGGGTTTACATTATGGTTTTTTTCAGTGATTCACCATTGATCTCTATGGAGAACTTGCCATGGTCATGCCCTCATGCTCACTGTGCAAATGAAAATTTTATCTCAAAGTCCTCATTTGCATTCACTGCTTGAACTTTGCAGAGTTGCCCAGATTCATCTGTGCTTGGTTAAAGCTGAACACAAAAATGTTTAAAGAAATATATTCCTTAATAGACAAAGGCTATAAATCCACTTTGCATGCACCAAATGAATTTGAAAACCCGTTTATTACCAAGATTATCAAAGATTGTGACTGCGTTAGAATGTGTGACCTGTCACGTGGTCACAGATTTTAACGAAATAATGCCCACTTTGTTGGCGGTGGAATATGTTACTGGCAAAAGGTGAAGAATTCCAATGCTTTCTCCGCTGTTTCAGGGCAGATCGGCATCGCATATCGTATGTGCAGGAGAACCGATCTGCCCTGAAACAGCTGATCGGTCCTGAAATCTCACTTCTATCTGACTTTGTTACTGCGATCTCACATTCCACAAAGCCGGATAGAAGTGACATTCAGGCAGATCGGTTCTCCTGCTTTCTCCTGAGAAAGCGTAGGAATTCTTTACCTTTTGCTGGTCACATATTCCACCGCCGAAAAAGTGGGCGTGATGACCAAAATGTGTGACCACGTGACCGGTCACACATTCCACCACCGAAAAACTGGGTGGGATAAAATTAAAATGTGTGACCACGTCACCGGTCACACATTCGAACGCAGTCACCAACTTTGATAGAACACCGGCAGAATTTACTGTGGGTGAAGGGGGGTGGGGGGAGACTAGACCAGTCACCCAGCGCAAGGAGAGAGAGCAGCAGTGACTGGTCTTTATTATAAGAAGCTCCACACAGAGGCAATGTTTCACACAGATCTAAAAGAAATACACAAAGCACAACAAGATTGAAGGAGGAACACACATGCCAATATTTGCATGCTCTGGAATTTATCTTTAAATATGCCCTAAGACAAATAAGACAATACACAGGA